GTGAGCGGCGTGTTACGTTGTGTTGTTTAAAGTTTTGTGTTTGGCTGTTCATTGTTGTGTTCTGATCGATACTGTTCAGCCAATACTAACCAAAATGTCTGTTTCTGGTATTTGTTATAATACTACAGCCTATATATATATAATGCATATATTATTCATTATATATATTTATAATTTTGCCCTTGGTGCCCCTCCCAAAAATTATACCATCAGCCGCCACTGGTCCTGGTTTAGTCCTGGTTTAGTCCTGGTTAGTCCTGGTTTAGTCCTGGTTTAGTCCTGGTTTAGGCCTGTTTTAGGCCTGGTTTAGGCCTGTTTTAGTCCTGTTTTAGTCCCGGTCCCTCAAGTCTCAGGTCTCTATAGGACAGGACCGGACTGGACTTCGTACCACGCTCACTACAGGCCCGGTGCTGTCCGATGCGTACCTATTTCTAGTTCAGAGGTGTTTTTGAGGAGAGGCTGTTGTTTAATGTTTACAACCAGTGGCAGGACTTATTGTTTTTTAATAAACCTCAACCTTTTATTATTGTCTTGTGTGTGTATCGTCTACCATACAACCTCAACAACTACTGCAGCTAATAATAATAATCTTAATATAATAATGATAATAATAACAACACATAATTGGCCTAATACTGTTAAAGAAAAACGTGTTTGATAGCATGTCTGCTGTGTATGACTCCACCGCGTCAAAATATTTCTCAAATGGCAGTGTCCCCCCCTGCTGGTGACCCATGCCCCTCCAGTAGATGTGCTCTGACGCCGACTCTGACATGGATCATGATAGAAAGGGTCCAAGCTGAAGCAAAAGTACCAAACACTATTAAACAATCAGTGTTGGGAAGGTGACTTTTAAAATGTATTCCCCTACAGATTACAGATTACATACCCCAAAATGTAGTTTGTAACGTAATCCATTAAATTACTTGAAGTGAGTAACGTAATCTGAATACTTTGGATTACTTGATTTACTGTAGAGAAGCAAAGACGAGGATATTGTAACATAAGATGTTTTATCTGATAAAAGAAAATAAAAAGCCCAAACTTTACTTAACCAAATTAAACATATTATTGATAGAAGAGGTGGAGACATGGTCCACATGGCATGGTTTAGGCCTGTTGAATCCTGGTTTAGACCTGGTTTAGTCCTGGTTTAGACCTAGTTTAGACCTGGTTTAGTCCTGGTTTAGACCTGGTTTGGACCTGGTTTAGACCTGGTTTTAGTCCTGCTTTAGTCCTGGTTTAGTCCTGCTTTAGAATTGGTTTGGACCTGGTTTTACACCTGGTTTACACCTGGTTTTACACCTGGTTTTAGACCTGGTTTAGTGTCCGGCAATGAGTGGAAATACAAAAAAAACAAAAAACAAAAAAACAAACAAACAAAAGGGAATAGCCCAAAATGTGAAAAAAGGAAAATACCTCTGTGTAATCCATTTATTTCAACAAAGTATCTGTAATCCAATTACCACTCACTGAAACAGTAACTGTAACTGAATACAGTTACTCATAATTTGTCTCTGATTACCTAACACCAGTACATGTAATCTGTTAGTCCCCAACACTGTAAACGATAACAGAATTTCATTTATTTTAAGTACAAAAAGTCTTATTCATGATTTTGTTTTGTTTTTTGCAGTGGAGCTATTCTTCCAAATAACGGCACTTTTCTATCACCGCCTAAACAACCAGCCTTGTTCAAATCCTCAGTTTTATTTTTCCATTAACCTGCGCTTGACTTTGACTCAGCTGACCCTCCTCCTCCTGAATAATGAGCGGATTTAGAGTTTAAGTGCGTGCTCTGGCCGTCACTACAGACTGTCCATTCATGCTGTGGGCCCGCGGTGGACTATAACAGTGACTCTAAGAGTGTTGTAATGGGACCTGGCTGCTCTGGGCCCGAGTGAAGGAGGTGTGACTCTGGGCCCTGTTAAATCTGTCATGTGTTTCCCTTTGGAGCAGCCTCACAGGAAAAAGAGAAAGCAGAGGTTTGGGGAGAGAGTGTTGTGCATAAAGTGTGTTTTTTTTTAGAGAGAGGGAGAAAGAGGGAGAGCGTGGGGAGTTAGGAGAGAGAGAGGAGAGAGAAAAAAAAAACAGTAGGGAGAGAGAAAGAAAGAAGAGTGGGAGAAAAAAGAGAGAGGAGAGAGAGGGAGGATAGAGGGGAAAGGGGAGAGAGAAAGACAAGAGAGCAGAAGGGAAAGAGAAGGGGAGATAGAGGAGAGAGAGATAGAGCAGGGGAGAAGAGGGAGAGACAGTGGAGGGGAAGGGACAAGGGAGAGAGATTGAGAGTGAGAGAGAGGCGGGCAGTGAGAGAGAGAGAGAGAGGGGAAGAGGAGTTAAACAAAGAGAGAAAGAAGAGGGAGTGAAAGAAGTGAGAGGGGAGAATGAGAAAGAAAAAGAGGGAGAGAGGGGGAGGGAAAGAGGACGAGAGAGAGAGAGAGTGAGTGAGAGAGATGCAGACAGTGAGAAAGAGAGAGAGAGAGAGGATAGAGAGGAAGGGAGCAAGAGAGGAAGAGGGAGGGAGGGAGGGAGGGGAAGAAGAGGGAGAGAAAGAAAGGGCAATTAAGATAGAAGAGGGAGAGATAGAAAGAGAAGGGAGAGAGGGAGGGGAAAGAGGAGAGAGAAAGAGAGAGGGGAGGGTAAGGGCTGGAGGAAAGAGAGTGAGTGAGAGAGAGGGAGGCAGTGAGAAAAAAAAGAGAGAGAGGGAGGATAGAGGGGAAGAAAGAAAGGGCAGAGAAAGTGGAGTGGGGGAGAGAGGGGAGTTGAAGAGGAATTAAACAAAGAGAGAGAAAGAGGAGGGAGAGAAAGGGAAAGTAGGGTAGAAGAGGGAAAGAGAAAAAAGGAGAGCAGGGAGAGAGAGGGGGAGAGAGGGAGTGAGTGAGAGAGAGGTAGGCAGTGAGAAAAAAAGAGAGAGGGGATAGAGGGGTGAGAAAGAGGGCAGAGAAAGTGGCGAAGAAGAGAAAGTAGAAGGGAAGAGGGAGAAGAGAAAGAGGACGAAGGGGGGTAGGACAGAGGGAGAGAGAGAAAAAAGAAGAGGGAGGGGAAGAGGAGGGAGTGAGAGAGAAATATACAGTGTGCAGACAGAAAGAAAGCAGAGAGGAGAGGGAGAGGGAGGATAGAGGGGAAGGAAGAAAGAGAGGGCAGAGAGGGAGAGTGATAGAGAAAAAGACAGAGAGCAGGGAGAGAGAGGTGGAGAGAGGACAGAAGGGGGACGAGTAGGAGGAGAAAGAGGGAAGGAGGAGGGAGAGAGTGAAAGAGAAAGAGGAGGGACCAGCATGGAGCAACACACACACAAATTATACAGAAAGAAGTGGTTGAAAATCAGACCAGTGTAACGTTATTCAGAGACTGGTGACTGTTCAGCGGTCGCAGAAGATTTTTTATTTTTTTTTCCCACTTTGCACCTGGAGCTTGAACACATCATGCTGGACTACGGTGAGTTCACAGACTCAAAACACATGTGCATTTTTCAGCTCTGATGTTTCTGTGACTGAATATGAGACTTAAAGGTACAGTGCATGTTTTGATAAGAAGTACAGAGCAGACTGAGACTAAACCAGGACTAAACCAGGACTAAACCAGGACTAAACCAGGACTAAACCAGGTCTAAACCAGGTCTAAACCAGGTCTAAGCCAGGTCTAAACCAGGATTAAACCAGGATTAAACCAGGTCTAAGACAGGTCTAAACCAGGACTAAGCCACCAGGACTAAACCAGGTCTTTCCTTGGACTAAACCTGGACTTAAAAGAATCTAAAAGAAATTATGGGCTAAAATATGTTTACAATACTACTACTACTACTACTACTGCTACCTACTAGTACTTCTACTACTGCTGCTGCTACCTGCTACTACTATTACCAACTACTACTACTACTACTACTACTACTACTACTACTACTACTACTACTACTACTACTACTGCCACCTACTATTACTACTACTACTACTACTACTGCCACTGCTACTACCTATTACTACTAGTACTACCACCACCTACTATGATGTCACTTGATTGTAAGACAGACAAAAATTAAGATAGGAGTAGCAATACTTTTTACACAAATACTTAAAAGTATATTGTTTCTTTTCTTTGATTCTTACTTTTCAGCTCTTTGAATTTTAATTTTACTTCAAACAAATAAAAATAGTTACTATGCTGCTTGGTTCATGGCTGTGTTCATATGTGAAAACACATCAAATCAAAATTGAGACTAGACTGGGACTAAATCTGAAGCTAAACCTGAACTAGACCAGGACAGGTAACCATGAAACCAAGTGCGGACAGGTCAGGTGATGGCTTTATTGGGAAAGACAAAAATAAAGTGAAATGACTAAGCATAAAAGGACTAAAAAAAAAAAAAGACAAAAAAAAAAGTTAAAGATGCAGAAGAGACTGAATAAATTGTACAGAGGATGGAGGAAGAGGAGGAGGAGAGCTAGAAACAGGAGGCCTAGAGGAAGACCAAAGAGGAGCAATTTATAAAATGATTCGGCGATATGGAATATAGCAGTAATGTGTATGAAGGGATACAAGTTGAAAATAATTTTAACATTTATACATTTAACGCCATGGTATATGTATTATGGATAGTTTTATTGCATTCAAAAATAGAAAAACCTGCGTCCTTACTGTGAGCGAGCTTGCATTTCCACAAACCTGACTCTGACTTAGAGGAGGGCCTCCTACTGCTGTTTCCATTCCAATTTTTGTCCCTCTAGCTATAATATTCTAGCCTGACTCATCAACCAGTTCGTGGGAACCATCTGACCTCGCAACATTAGGATTCATTCACTTGACGGTAGGCAGGTAGTTTCTTTATTTAACCAATCACTGCTATTTGGTCGTGATGTATGTAATGTGCCAAATCCCATAGGAAGAAGGCCAATAATGTCTTTCCCCGGGAACTGTTGCCAGCATAAAATGTATGTCTTCGTCTACAACCATCTTGACCGTTTTGTTTACTGTTGTGCTGTACCACAAAAGGGACCAGGACACGCGCTTGAGTTTGACGTCATGGCTTCACAGCTCTTCGCTGATTGGCCGGTGCTCAGTCTACAACTTCCGGGGTTCTTGCAAACCATCTAGTGTATTCCGATTCCTGACCTAGTTGCTGGAGAGAAATGAAACTGAGCGGAGGCACTAGGTGGCACTAGCCTGGCTACTAATATTCCACAGTATGGCATAAAACATAACGTTACTCAGTCGACTTTCATCTCTAGAAAGTTAAACACTATGATATTAGAGGATCTATTACTGAATAGCAAATATCTAAAGAAGTGGAGTAACAAAACAAGAGAGTGCTGGAATTGCAATGCAAACCTTTAATTTTACCCAATTTTTCATAAAAAATAAATAAATGTAAATTCTGGCAAACTTACATTTAAATGATTAAATAAATAAATTATTGTAAAAACCAGGCTGAGAATTTCTGACCAGACCCCGTGTATGGGCCAGACCATTGGTGTTTAACCTCACAAATAGGGGCAGGTCTCATTCCTCACTGATACGACAGGACTTCACTGCCCTGTGAGAAATCCAGAGCTCAGTCAAGTTCAGGAGGTACTCAGATACACACTCAACTCAAGAGACTCTGATGAACGGACAATTTCAGGTATTTTTACTGCAGTTTATTTAGACTTGGCATATTCTAAGACGTAAACTACTACTTATACTACTACTACTGCTGCTGCTACTACTGCTACTACTACTAATAATAATAAATGTAGTAGTGGCAGAATTAATGGATGTTTTCATTTTAACTCCAATTTTACTTTATATCGAAGTAAGTTTTTGTTGTTGTTTGTTGTTTGTTTAGCAGTCAGTACACTAAATGAGAGGCCAAGGTTGCGTTCACCCTTGTACTTGTTTGGTCCTGTTTTTAGTCTTGTTTTTAGTCCTGGTTTAGTCCTGGTTTACGTCTGTGTTGAGTCTCAGTTCGTTTTAGTGTTTTGTTTGTGTGAAAAGTATGAATGGATACACTCTGAAACTACTTTTGAACACTTTTGGCAAATGGAACAGCTTAAATACACTTAGAAAACAATGAAATGTATTTTGGTTTTAATGTTTGTGTGCATCAAAAGCCAGCAGAGGGCGCAAGGACACAGAGAGGTGAAGTAGCAAAGCAGCGTTAGGATAAAACTTGTGAAGCTGTGAAGTTCAAAGATTATTAACTACATAGTGAAAGATATTTGAATTTTTTGTTGTTCTTTAATCAGTTCTAATATGTAAAATCAACTTTTCAAAGCTTTTCATAGTTGTTTCCTCTCACCATTTACTCATTTGCAGTTGTATTTGGAGTGATTTGTGCATGTTTGAGCAGTTTTTAATCACTTATTTGCAGAGGGAGGCTTAATTGGCTGCTGTGTTTTTGACAAAGAAGCAGCATTATAACATGTTTAACTTTACCATTCTAATGTTTGTACCCAAATATGTCTAAACTGTAAATTTTCAGCCCATTATTTATAGTTTTTTGTGTTTTCTTTAGTCACTTTTATAGACTGAAACTGTACTCAAAGTTGTGAGGAAAGACTGCAAAGACCAACATGCATCTGACTTAAAGGGACAGTCCTGAATTTTGGACATAGGACCTCATTTCCTAGTGAGCCAGAGTGTTGGAGACATGTGGAGACACTTTTAAAAATATTCCATCCAGTCCTTGTATTTGCAGAGGTCGCTGGTGCTAGGCTAGTGCATGTCAATGGCCATAGTTATCCTACCACTAAAAACAGTCTTACCCGCTCCACAAAACACCTGAAGCAAAACAATTATTACGCCAGACTGTTGATGTAAATGTCTGTGTCGACAGAATAATTTTAGAAGTAAAACCAATCTTGAATTTGAAGAATTTATGTCTGAGCAGCAGCAGCAAGTTGTACTTCCTGATAGAAAACTTTGACAGCGGTGGACTGATATATGAGAAAATAGTCCCACAAAATGCGACGATTCATGTGACGCAAGGTTAGTTTTATTTCAAACATTATTCTATCAACACAGACATTTACATTGACACTCTGGTGTAATAATAGATTTACTTTGGGTGTTTTGTGGAGTGGGTAACACTGTTTTTAGTGGTAGGATAACTATGGCCATTGACATGCACTAGTCTACCACCAGCGACCTCTGCAAATACAAGGACTGGATGGAATATTTAAAAAAGTGTCTCCACGCGTCTCCAACACTCTGGCTCACTAGGAAATGAGGTCCTATGTCCAAAATAGTCACATTCACAGGACAAAAACGAACCTTTCCTGAATAGCTTTAGAATGATCTTGAGCTGTATCAGAACAAGTATAAGAGCACATAGACAAGTATACTCAAAGACCAAGTACCAGTAGCCCAAGGACGCCAATGAAACCTACCTGGACCATTGGGATTACACAGATATTATACCACATGGTAATATAAACAAATTACTAGGATTTAATGTTGAAAATTACATTATATCTTCTAAAGGAACATCATAGTATCAGAATCTGTATTGAGTATTAAGTCTATTCCTTAGTATCAAAATCAAGTTAGACAACACTGTTAAATTATGAGGAAATAAGTGTATAACCAAGATTCTGAGTGCAGCTCATTGTAGCAGCCCGGTTGAAATGATGGTCTTGAATACTAAAAGCTACAAAAAAATGAAATAAAACAATTAGTTCTTACAGTGAGTACCATTTACTATGTTATTAGGTTCTTTTTTCAGACCCAGGGTGTTATTTCATACCTGACAGTTTCGACTGCTCACTAGCGTCTTCCTCAGAGTGATGACGTGAACCTAATAACATAGAATATCGGAAGACCAAATGAATCTCATTGGACTAGTACCTTTTAACCATTTAACCATTTATTATATAACGATCTCTAATCTAAGTGATCAACAATTACTATTTATCAACAAATCTCATAAAGTCTGAACTTTGGCATTTATCTATATTGAACAATGAAATTATTCATTAAAATTATGTTGTCACACTGCGCATAACTTTGCTTACAGATTGTATGGAGGATTTTTTTTTGTTTGTTTCAAATTGTCAGTGAAAGTTTAAAATACCATTACAGAGACGCAGCAGCCTTGTAATTATGATGACCAAAAAAAAAAAAGAATGAAAATCTATCAACTATGGACATAGTGAGGCCAGATAAACATCAGCTAATAGAAAACAAGGCTCCCTCATTTTTTATTGGCTGTTAGGTTGTCAATCAAACTCCCTACGTTTCTAGTGTAAGTGACTCGTCGGCGTGCAGGGATTATGTGGTTTATGCAGCGGTTCTTAGAGGCTTTTTCAAACTGTGGCTTTCTCGCAGTTCCACAAGAATCCACAAGCAGTTCGCCGCAAAAGAAAGTCAATTTTTTGATGTCGCTGAAAGAAGAAGAGAAGGGGAAAAGGAGCGAAGCTAAACTGAGGTGATTCTTGGAGCCAACCACCAACCAGATGCTAATC